GTGCCCATGGGGAGCAGGCTCAGCCTTGTGGGATGGCCACTGGGGACAGGGTGGCTGTGCCAGCCCCATGGGGTGTAAATAGGATGGAGGATGTGCTGGCACAGGCCTGGCAACCCATGGTGCCCACTGCAGGGGCAAAGGGGATGATTTTGCTTCCCACCCTGCTCTGGGCATATGGGGTGGTGCTGGCAGCCAGGTGAATGGAGGGAGGCACAGGAGGAGGGAGATGAAGGGGTAGGTAGGAGGATGAAGGGTGATGGCTATGTGGGTGGTGGGCATGAGTCAGATCTGGCACTGGGGAGGGCACAGGGCAGTGGGAAGACCCACTAAGGGCTACCATGAGGTCTCTGAGAACCACGGCCTGGCTGGGCTGGGCTGCCCCAGGGAGGCTCCTGCACACCTGACAAATCTTCCAGCAGCCCAGAGAGGTCTGAGGCTCAAACATGACATCCAATCCCAAGCTGTGAAGCTCAGTTTGGGATAGCATTTAGGGGTTTAGCATCACCCATTGCCAGGTACTCTCGCCTGGTAAGCTGGTTGAATGTGTGCTGTGCCCCACTGCCACATCCATGCAAAGAAAATTCTAAAAAAATATAGGGTAGCTCTGCTTTCAGGATGCTCTAAACTCAAACTTGCAATTCTACCACTCATCTAGCAGATTGCTCTGGTATCAAAAGCTCTCCTAAACCATTGCCACTGGTTTACCCCATGCACTGTACCTCCCCCAGCATACCTATGGAGCTGGCTGAGCATCCCAAGGGGCCCAACACAAGCTGGCTGCTGGATGCTCAGGGCTGGAGCAGCTCACTGGCAGGCCCCAGCACACGAGGGTCAGGCACAAGCTAACTGAATGCATAACTTTATTAAATAAATGCTTTGTCATGAGAAAAGACAAAGATCAAAGAGTAACATAAATTATAAGTTGAATAAATAGTATACAGCAATCTTCACTTTTTAATAAAATGTGAGATTTTTTTTTAAGTACAAAATGCTAAACAGAGCATTAAGCTCTTCTTCCATTGTCAGTTTTTCACAAACTGCTTTTTTTTTCCCACCAGTAAGATTATGAGTAATTCTTGTTTACTGGAAAAAAACCAAAACAAACCAACAAAAACAAAAACAAAAACAACAGAGCTACCGTATGTATGTAAAGCTATAAAAAGCTACCGTAAAATGTGTAGTGAGTATTGCTTAAAGATAAAAACCAGGCAGGAAACTCGGAATCTGGTGTGTTTTAACAACTGTGTTACAATGGTGGGTAACGTGCGCAGTGACGTCTGTCCCGGTGGCAGTGGTGGGGGCTGGTGGGGCTGGGGGCACAGTAGGCAGGGCTCCTGGCCAGGGCCAGGACAGCGGTCTGGAAGCGAGGTGAACTGTCGGTCGTTAAATATACAATGCTCCGTTCGGGAAAAAAAATAAAAATCAGTAACAACAAAAAACCCCAAACAACAGCAAAAAGAGTTTTCATGGGGAAGGGGGGAAAAAAAGGGAAGGGGAGGGGGGAGAGCAGAGAAATAGTGCAAAATGCTCTTGTACTAGTGGTTTTCAAAGTCCACTGCAGTACAGACAAGGGGTAGCCCAGCCGCTGAGCGCCGCTCCCCAGGGAGATGTGGTGGAAGGGCTGTCCTCGCCCCTTGTGCCATCCTTGTCCTCTCCTTTCCAGCTCACATCCTGGATACAGACGTGGGCTCGCTGCAAATACCAGAGAGCCCTGAGCCTCACACCTCCCCCTGATGCACGAATTGCCAGCATCTCCCCGTGGGCCTCGACCCTCCACCTTCCTCAGCTCCCAGATCTGCCCCCTTTGGCTTTCTCACTCTAAATGTGAAGGGGTGCTGCTGAGTGCTAAGAACGGGAGCACCTTGTCACTGACATCCCAGGGGGTGACCAATCCCTCCTGAAGCCACTCTCATCCCCAGCCCAACCCAGGCTCCAACCCCAGTCCTAAATATTTGTGCAGCCTGCAAACAGCGTCGTCCTGCTGGGGCTCCTCGAGGGAGTGGGTGGTGGGGGGGTCACTTGGTGCCCCATCCAGGGTGCTAAGGTGATTGGGGGTCAAGGGTGATGCGGCCCAAACTTCCACAATCCTCCCCCTCAGCTGGTGGAGACAGGCCAGGCAGTGCTGTCCCAGCATGGGATGTGCAGGGGGGTGAGGGAGGCTGTGTGGGATAGATTTGAGTGCTCTGGGCTCCTGGGGCCATGTAGACTTGTTTTGTAGGGAGAGGTCGGGGAATCACCCTGTGTCCCACTCCCAGTGTCAGAGTGGTGGCCTCATCATGACACCACCACGGGGTGGTGAGCTGATCCTCACCCTGCAAAAGCATCCTTTCCAAAAGGCAAGGTCCATGGGGAGCTGCTGCCATCTGCTTGCTCCCATCCTGCCCCAGCGGCATGTCTCCTTTCTCTGCAGCCAAAGGCTTTCAAGTTTTGGGAAATTAGACAACAAAACATACGAACAAACAAAAAAAGCAAGAGAGTGAGAGAGAAGGAAGGAAGGGTCCTGGGAAAGGTGGTACTGGCCTATAACAGTCAGGAGGTTTTGCACAGGGATCAGCAAGCGGACAGTGTCAACGATGGTGACCAGTGGCCCTCGGGGTTAGCACAAGCTCCTCCTCCTGCTGTCTCCACTCTTCACTCCACTTTCACCCTATCATTAACCCACCACCCTGGTTAAACCAACCTTGCTCCATCAGCCCTGCAGAGCCTGGAGGGGTCCCTCCCTCCCTTGGCCACAGCACCTGCCATGCTCCCCTCCAACAACACGGGGGTTTACCCCACTCCAGCAGGCATTTTTGAGGAGCAGATCTGCATTTGGTGGCACACTTCCTTCTTTTCAGCAAAGGAAGGTGCTTTGTCCTCAGCTCCAAACATGCTCCGCTGGGTTTCCGTGGAAGTCCATCAGCAAAACTCGCTGCCACTGTAACTTGGAGGGCAGTAACTGCAGGTGTCCAGTTCTGCCCTGGATCAGAGCAAGTGTCCTGGTGCGGGGCCCATGGGGTGTTTAGGGGAGTGATGCCATGTCATGGGAGGCTATGAGGGCTCCCAACCCGTGATGGCGAGAAGCCTTTACCAGAACCTCTTGGCATCGAATCCCCCTTGTCCCACCCCACTGGTGGGGAGCTGGTGGTGCTGTGGACCCCCTTTACTCACTGTCCAGGTCTGGGAAGATCAAAGGAGCTTTGGGGGTGCAGGAACCTTCCCCCTGAGATCAGCTGTGTCCTTTGGCCAGTGCCAGCTGCCAGCTCTAGTCATGGCAGTGGGATGTGGTTCCTGGTGGGTACGTGCTTGTTCACTGGGACCACAGCACCCAGAGCCCATGGCTCCCTTTCCTTTCCTTCCTTCCTGTCGCTGCAAGATTTCCTCCCAGCACCAACATTGTGGAGACCTTTGTCATGGAGAAGCAAGAGGCAATAGTCCCCAAATCAAACATAAAAATTACAAACAACAAAAACATCAGGAAGGCAGCCGAGGTCTGTCCCAGCATGCCTGAGGCAGTGGGTCTCCATGGTGCGGTGGCTGCTGTCACTCCACAAAGAGTTGGGTCCCAAGTTAAAGGCAAGGCCCCATCTCAGGGTCTTACTGAAGGGTAGTGAGAATCAGCTGTGGCAACACGAGAAGTATCCTCAATGCAAAAGGATGGAGACCGGCATTTTCCTACCCACAGGGAAAGCTACAAACCATCTTTAACAAAAAACCAAGATGAAACAAAGTGTAGGTTTGGGAGTTTTTTCCCCCTGGAGCAAACCACATTTTTGGCTGTGAAGATAAAAAAAACATAAAAAAATTCTCCATAGTTGGTCTTTGTGGCACAAAGGGCGGTGAGGAGTTTTGGCCCCGATCCTCCTGTCCCCACGTAGGGATACTTCAGTCTGGACAGTGATAGAGTAACAGTAGGCTTGGCTTGGATGCAGCCCTCGGTGTTGATGGGGCCCTGGATCCCAAGACATTGATGCTCCTCCATAACTCTGCTCCTGTGCTTAGTCCAGCAGGCTATTATTAGTGTTTGGGAGGGGCAGCATTTCTCCCCCTGATTACATTATACATTGAAACCTCCAGATTGCAGGTTTCAAGGTGAAGTTTTGCAAGGAAGAAAAGCCACATCAATGCACACACACACTCACACACATGCACGCAGGTAACAAATGCTTCCACACCTGGATGGGCAATGGTCAGAGTCCAGCTTGTCCAAAAAGATTTCTGACCTTCCGTTTGAGACAAAATGGACAGAGAAGAATATATTTCCTTTTTGGATGATTTTTTTTTTGAAGTCCACAAATATTATTTTTGGGGTTATTTGTGCTGTTGCAGGATCTGTGTTTCCCTCCCCAGCTCATCTCCAGACACGAAGCCAGCAGTCCCATGCCTCCTCCTGATGTGTTGAAATCTGCCTGGATTTGGGGCAGTCATTTGAGATGGAAATCAAATTGACTTGAGTGAGTCCCAGGGATGCTGGGAGGAGACTCTGGAGGACTGCAAGGGGCATGCTGGTGGCTGCAAAATTTTCTCACAAGACCCTTTAGAAATCAACTAGCTAACATGAAAAAAAATATAAAAATAGAAAATGAACCCGCCCAAAACCCGTACTGGAAAATCACCAACTCGGAGAGCTTCCTACATCGGGGTGGCCTCTGCTTGTGGCAGGGGGGTGCAGGCAGCACTGGGGAGAGGCGCAGGTGGCAGAGCGGCCATGGCTGGTTTGTCTCTGGCTCTATCCTTTCCTTGCTGAGTCCTTGTTGTCAAGAGGCTGCTGTAGATTCCGAGTCCTCAGTTTCTTCTGGATTTTTCTCTTTTCTTTTCTTTTCTTTTCTTTTCTTTTCTTTTCTTTTCTTTTCTTTTCTTTTCTTTTCTTTTCATCTTTTCTTTTCTTTTCTTTTCTTTTCTTTTCTTTTCTTTTCTTTTCTTTTCTTTTCTTTTCTTTTCTTTTTTGTTTCTTTTCTTTCTTTTATTTTTTCCTCTCTCCTCTTTTTGCTTTTCCTTCCTTTACTTCTCTTCTTTCCTGCTTTCCCTTGCTCTTTTTTTCATTTTCCTTCCTTTCTCTTTTTTCTTTTCCTTTCTTTTTTCTTACATGAGATGAAAGGAATCAGAGTCCTGGGGCATGGGGAGGTGCAGAGGGGAGGGTGGAAGGGAGTCTGGGTAGGTAGTGATGGGGTGGAGGGAGGGGATGTGACTTCACTCCACATTGCTGCTGTCGAACGCATGGCACTGCAGGTCTCCGCTCAGGTAGTCAGTCCCCGGCAGCTTCATGCCGTATTTGTCCACACACCAACACAAGCCACGCTTCCGGCCTCGGGAGGGCTTGCACTAGGGAGACACCCAAAGGCAGACGTCAGGAGCTGGCCACCACATGCAGCGTGGCTCCCTCACGCTGGGGATCAGCATCAACCCTGTGCCTTACCTCTTTCACCCCAGCAATAGAATCCCTTGGGTATAATTTAGCTCCTGCTCTCTGTTTTCAGCACATCCCCATCCCTGCTGCTACCCCAGTCCAGAGTTCTCTGTCTTTTCCTCCTCCCTCATCAGCTCCTTCAGGATGTTTGCTTCAGGTCAGATGGCACTTGGAACCATCAGCAAGGCCACTCACTACCAAACGTGCCTGGAGATGCTTAAAGCAATCTCCCCACCAACTCAGCAGAGGGAAAAATCTCCATCCTGCCCATCCAGGGCAGTGACACAGAAAAGCGTTCCTCAGTGGGGAGCACCACTCTGTGGGGCTCTTACCTGCTTTCTCTTGTAGAAGCCCTTGCGGTCACAGTTGGGGAGGTGGACAGCGCGAGGGACCATCCGCTGGCTGCTCTTTAGCTCCTGCAGGGATGCCTCCATGTGCCTGCGGCAGGGGCCCTGCAAGCAGGGAGAAGAAAGTGTGTGAAGGGGAGCACCTCACAGCAAGCCTCCAGCTGCACATGCCCACAGGTCCCCTGTCTCCCCCACCAGCACCCTCTCCCCAGGGGGACAAAGCCATCCTGCAACCTCCTGCCTATGGGAATCCCATGGAGGGAAAGCAAAGGCACTCACCAGCTCAAACTCTTGCCGGAGCTCAGGGATGACAACACGTGGGTGTGCTGTGTTCTCGGCAATGCCCACGAACTTGGCCAGGGTCAGCTTCTTCCGGCGGTCCTTCTTCAGGGCTTCAGCCTTGAGCTCAGAGAGGCGCCCGTGCTTGGGCCGGTAGGCCTTGGGTGGGTAGGTCTCCTCTGTCATCTCTGATGTGGTCGGCTCCTCATGCTCTCGAGACTCCCGTTCTGGAAGAGATGGGATACCAAACTGTCAGGTCGCCATGAGCTAACTGGGGCTTGCTTTTGCACAAAGAGCCTCCTGCCCAACCCAGAAGACTTATTTGCATCAGGCAGGATAGGAACAAATAACCAAAGAAATCCCTTTCCCAGCTGCTGCCTACAGCTCCAGCTTTATCCCACTGTGTGGAACTTCATGAGACTTTTGTGTGACCTCTGAACTCAGGACAGGAAGGAATCTGAGTGCATGAAGGAGTTGGAGGTCTAGGATGAGCTTCTACATACAAGGGCCATTGTCGTTTTTGTGTGTCAGTGGAAAAAGACTGGTATGAGGGTCATCCCACACCCAAAAAGATCCAGGTCACACACAAATGAGGCAGAGAAGCCCCTCTTTATGCATGGCGAGAGGATTAAGTGACAAATTCACACTCTATCCTGCCTTGCAGATGCAAGAGCAAAAGCCAGGAATGCTCTGAGACAACTCCAAAGTCAAGGTCAATCACACAGCAAAGCCACCGCACGACTGGGCAGGCATTTCAGCAGTGATATCAAAGATGCAGCTGACAAGTGCTGGGAGCTCCAGGGTCCTCAGCTCAGTCTCTCAGTCATGGGACCAAACCAGCCCTCGTCTGATGGCACATACTAAGCAGCCAGCAGAGCCAAGGATAACACTGCCAAGTAGCATTGCCTGACCATAGCTGCCACTGATGGCACTGGTAGCAAAGGGGGAGAGTGTTTAGATTCTGTCCACAGCAGTCGCCTTCCTGTAGACCCCTCAAATTACCCCAGCGTAACCTCTGCCAGCGGGATGCAGGCAGGAGCCCTGTGCAGTTATATATAGGAGCAAGCTGGTGACAGTCTAAACTTAGATGACTTGTGACATTTAGTACAGCCATCAGAGTGAAAAAGGGTCATTCCTGGACTAAATTTGAATAAGAGTTTAAAGCTCCTGAGGTTCCCAGTCTTCTGACTCCTGGGTCCCAGCAGTCCAGTGCTGATGCCAAGTCTGTGCCGAGACCTGAGAGCGACCACGAGAAAACTCACTGCAGCAAAAGGAAAAGCACCAGAGCAGCTGAAATCCCACCCTGAACAGTGTCTTCTGCAACCTCTATGCCAATGAATGCAGCTCATCCCCTCCTACAGGAGGGAAAAAGGTTCAGGATTAAATTAAAAGCAGATATATTCCTCCCCTCCACCCCAACAAGGCAGGCAAGAGTATCGCTGCAAACTGACTTCTCTCTGAAGCCTAGATGGAGTCCCAGAGGGGAGGAGGATGAAGAGGATGCCTCTGCCTCATTAAGCTCCCCAGGAGTGCGCGGGGATGCCTGGCAAAGGGGGATAGACAAGATGCTCAGCGGCAGATGGCAGCACCAGCCTGTCACACACAGCTAGGGGGTTTTGGAGGCGACCGAAGGGACAGCCAGGTCGCTGGGTCCCCAAGCCTAACACAGCTACCAGTCTCCTATTTCTCGCCAAGGTGAACCTGCACTCTCCGAGCAAAAGCTGCAAAGTTTTCCATGTCCACTTATTTATTAAAGCAGCCCTTTGTTTTTTCTGTTTCCACAAGAACAGCACTGCATCAGTATTCCAGATTTGGCACCCTCCTAACTGCCTGCTGAGACATAAGTGACCCCCTGTGCTATCCCTGGGACACACATGGTTCCCCAGGACAGGACCACTTTGCCATTTTGCCCCATGATGCTTTAGCCTCTGCAAACACCTTATCTCTCCTCTCCCTACATGCTGCCAGAAAGTCAGTGAGCTGCAGACTAATGTGAGCCCTTTCAGCAAGGGGAGATGGGAGCGGCAGGAGCCCAGTGCTCTGCAGAGGGAGCTGAGAACTGATGCGTACCGAAATCTGCCCAGGTCCCAGCCCGAGCCCAGTGCTTCCTGCAGGGCTGAAAAAGCACCTGAACTGACACCCTTCACTCTCCCAGGAACACACATGTCCACGTCAAGCAGCATGACAAGGGATGGCTGTGGAGGGACTCCTCTGTCTGTCACTCAATAGTGGTGTCCAGTTTGGGTCTTTATATCCCAGTGAGAACCCATGGATGCCTTGGAGGGATCCCTTTCCTCCACCCTCTAGTGTTTTTTATAGCCTAATTTCCTTCAGCAACAAGGCTGACATAGTCCCTTCTCATGCACCCAACGGTCTGTTTCCTAATTTGATACTAACAAGCCAATTTTGACAAACTGAAGGGCAAAGGTCTCTGAGACAGAAACTCCTGACAAGCTCTGGGCAGCTGGTGAAGGGCCTTCCCAGTGCCAAGAGAAGAGGGGAAAGGCAGAGCTGTGGCCTGCAGAACCCATGCACTCCCTTATTCTCTTTCTGGCTGGCCCATCCACATCAACCTGCAGCTGCCCACTGAAGCCAGGACCAGACACTCATGTCAGTATCTCTGGAGCTCCTGTGCCAGCCTGCCCATCCTCACCTACCAGCTCATTCAATAACCTCTGACTGCCCCTGGGCTGGGTCACTGCAGGCCTCTGTGCCTCTGCTCCCCAGGAAATGCCGGCAGGATAAATGCCCAGTTTCCCCAAATGAGCCCTACTTTTGCCTGTCTTAGACTCAGGAAGGAGGCTGGAGTTCCTCCTCCCTATCTGTCAGGTTCTGGCCTGCCACACAGACCTTTCCTGCCTACTCCCGTCCGCCTTGCCAGCCTGGCGGTTGGGTTTCAGGCAGGCAGCCATCTGCAGAGGCAGAGCATGCTGCATCTCCCTACGTCAGCTACGGGCAGACGGTATTTGCAGGAAGGCCCTACTCACGGTGTCCTCAGACAGGGGTAGTGGGAAGCAGGAATTGGGTGGCTCTCACATCTCCATCCCTTCTCCCCACAACTCAGGAGGAGGTCACCGCTCAGCAGTGAGAAAAGGTGGCTCACTGGCCACACAGAAGAATGACATTGCTGGCCAAGCCAAGGATGCCTGGCTAGCTTGGAGGTGACACCTGGGCTGTAGCCACCTCAAAGGCATGTTGACCCTATAGCCAAAGCAGGAGACTGCACTCAACTCAGAGTCACTCTACGGCTTCATGTCTGGCGTGATGCTGTGGTGCCCAGGAAAAGAGAGATGAGCATCTGGAAATGCTCTTGACCCAGGCCAGGCCAAAAGGACTGTGCTGTTGATGTTCTAATCCATGAAGGCTCCCCTGAGGTCTGAGGCAGAAAACAGCCACAGCACAGCATGAGCTGTCCTCTGCCCTGGGCTGAGGGCATAGTATCTTCTCCCACTCCAGGCTAGCCAGAGGGAGCTACCTAGCAGGAGTTGTTTCCAACCCTTCCACCCTGCCCCTGAAGAAGGGACAGGGAGTAGCAAAATACCAGGAATACCAGGCACAGTTTCTGGGAAGCCGCAAATTGCTCCTGTCTGGCTGCCTGCTGTCCTTAACAGCACCAGAGCAGACTACGAACTGTCCTGCCCCTGGGCCAAAACTCAGCCTGGGTGCTTCTCGGCTTGAGTCGCTTTGGACCTGTGTGGGATCCCCATAAGGTGGTTGGTGCATTCACATGGGGGAGCAGGGTGTATGGGAACACTGCCTTCCTGCCTGCTGACATTACGGAGTGGAGCAGGAAGCTTTTTCCGAATGGCTGGGAGGTTTGAATTTTTGTAACACATTTTCATCGGTTTCTGGCAGAAAGGTAGGAAAAGGATCTATTGACCGCTGCTGCTAATGATCCATGCTCGTTACAGTCACAGCCCACTGCTAGAGGACTTGCTGTCCTGTTCAACCCACCTCCCACCAAAAGCCACATGCACCTAAGAAGGACAAGCACAACCATAGCATAACTTTGTTAAACAGCCTTCTTGATTATTATCAGGATCATTATTATTTACAGCATAAGCACTAACATAATACACCACTTATGCAGAAAGGTGTTGGAGTAAGACTTAATGGGGGTCTCAGTTAGACCTCTAGCATAGGAATCACACAAATGTCTCCGGTGGGACCTTCAGAAGTTGTCCAGTCCTTCCTCTGTCCTCAAACCCAGCCATCTCTGTTCAGACATGCTCATTGCGCATGGGTCTTACACAGGAAATCTGTGCTCAGGTACCAGGCTAGTAAAAACTCTCATCAAGTATTTCCTGCAGCTGCCCTCCCAATTTGTCCCCACTCCAGATGAAGGGATGAGCTTGACCTATGCTGAAGCTTCCTGGGATGAGCAGGCAAGTTCCTTCCCATCCTGGAATTGCACCTGTGACCATGATGGGAAAATAAGAATTCCTCCTTCCTGGTCAGCATACAGGGACAACCACTGTGTTTGCATTCTCGAAATACAGGCAGGGAAGAGAGAATGCAGGCAGGAAAGGGATGCAAAGTGGGGAGGGTCATCTCATCTTATGCCCTTTGGCAGCTGGAGAGCACAACCGAGCAAAAGCATTCCTGAGCTCCCCAGAGGCCACCAGACTCAGCGCAGGCAGAAGGAAGCTTTCATGGGCCTAATGAAGAACAGCTCGTTTACATTCCCTTCACAGGCACAATCCCCCAAAGCGGCAGTGAATGGCCCCCAGCCCCGTTCACAGCCCCGCAGGGGTGGGTAGCAGAGCCGGCTCAGGCGCTATGCCCGGGGCTGGGGTCACTGCTTCAGACCACCGCCCTGGTGAAGTCAGGCAGTGATCTCAGGCGGCCGCCCAGCCCAAGGCTGTCTGGCACCCATTGAAAGAGGAGCAGCCAGGGCTGGGGATACAGGCTCCAGCCAGTCCCTCTGCTAGCCCAGGGCGTTGGCTGCTGGAGAGCCAGCTGCAATGTGCCTTGGACTTTCGACGAACTTTTGTGCTTTGGTGGGGACTTGGCATCAGGCCATTGCAGCCGATGTGGTAGGGACTGGCGAGGGTTCATGCTGGTGATGCTTGCAGGTGATGAGAGACTGGGAGGAGACACCACACACCAAGGACAGAAAAACAGCAGCCCTGCTGGGACTGCCACCCCACCTCCCACAAGCCTCAGCAATGTGCAACAGGCACTTAGAACAAATCTGTATCATGTAACACCCACCTGCTAATGCAGA